TATATATATATATATATATATATATATATATAAAACATTGTGAATTTGCGAAGATTGACTTTAATCAAATATTCTAAAAATGATAACAAAATCACGAAGGACCTATACTATATTGCCTTATTACTTGTTATCAAAACAAAATTATTTTTGCTAATTCAAATGTTCTAATCAATCACAATTAAATCGATAAATTATATTAATATCACAATCAGGAACGAACAAATATATTCGTGATAAGAAAGAAAAGACAGAAAGATATTTATATGAAAAATAATTGTCGTTAATTTCTTTGTGAAACTAAACGATGAATTTTAAATAATTGTGACAGAACAATCGTAAGCATTAACTTATTACGATTCAATATAATTAATTTAACAATTGACTACATAGACGAAATAGTCCGTGCAGTGCATGGACATAAATTTATTTAAAAAAATGCGGGAATGTAAAATTGTATGTATATCTGTAAAATGGTGAATAAAATTAGCTATATCTTTCATGTATATACTTATACATGTATATATTTTTTTACTTTTGGTTTTCATTTGATGTGTAAAAAAAAATATAATATGACTATATTACATCAATAAAGAAATGATGGTTTCGTGAAGTTCAAAAGAAATTTATCTATCTTCTTTATTCATAAAATGTGATATAGAAATGACCATATCATAAATTTTGAATCTCAAAACGAATAGATATTTGATGCATATCGAACAAGTTCCTGAGCGTAAACTTTCGAATACTATGAATTATTTTCTTTGCGTATGACATATTGTAGATAAGCATGGACAAACTAATGAGATACATTCTTATTAAGCGATATTATGACTATGTTTTTATATAAATTAGTGTGTATATTATACGCCGTTATTATGCATCAAACTTGTACAAGATTTGTAATTAATATTATAAAACATATTTGTAATTAACACTTGAGTGTTCTCGTTTATTTTGATTATCATTAATCATTTGAAAGGACATTTTTATTACATTTTTATTTCAGTTATTCAGTCGATCAAGTCGTAAAAGCCGATTTAAAAAATCAATTCCATAAAAAACAAATTACGCATTCGTTAATATAAATGCTTCAAATAATATTGGTTTAATTTTTATTTATTATTCGTTAATTGAAAAAATTTTTAATCGGAGCAATTTAAACTCAAATTATTGTGATATGTATACGTATATAATTTTTCTTACTGCGCTATGCGCATGTAAATTATTTAAGTCCAGTGCAATAAAAAAAATGCTACTATTTAATTTAAACAAATTCACATGGTATTCTCAATTATTTAAAATAGGCCAAACAAAAACATGTACTGTGCGCAGCGCGCAGTGCGCAGTGCCGCATGATTTCGCACGTCGATTAATGTAGCGATGCTAATTGCATCTAGCGCCTTTATCAATATAATGAGCACATGGAAATTGATACAGCGACGGTGTTACGACTTGCTCTCGCATAAATACTCATTGCTCGTAATATTGGTGGCGTTTACTTGCATATTCATCGGCATAGTGCACTTTGGAGAGGTTAGAACAACAAATTTATTTTTAGGCATATTCTATAAATATATGTGAATAAAATATATGTATAATAATTATTTAAAAATTTTATAATTCTACATTTTTTTATATCTATTTCTGTCAATGTAGATTTGCATCAATTTTGATTCAACTTATTCTTTATTTTCTTTCATTTTTAAGAAAAAAGAATGTAAAAAGTAAATTGAAGCGAAACTAAAATCAATAAACATTGATAGAAACATTTCTCTTTTTCACTTTCTCGCTCAACTAATGATATTTTATACTCACAGGTATGGCTAGTATGGAGCAAAGAGCAATACGAGGCGGTGTTTCATTCCTTCAATGACAATATTTTAGGAAGATCTTTCCAAAAAAAACTGTGTCAGCACGTTCCTATAGATGTGGTTTACACATGGGTAAATGGATCCGATCCGATGTTTTTACAAAGTCTTCAGAAGCATGTGCCTGTTGTGGATCTCAGTGCCGCAGCTTCGAGATTCAGTGATAAAGACGAGTTGCGCTATTCGTTGCGATCGTTGGAAATGTATGCACCCTGGGTGAGGCACGTTTACATCGTTACCAATGGTCAAATACCAAGTTGGCTGGATATGGATAATCCACGGGTGACTCTAGTCACTCACGAAGATATTTTTCTGAATAAAAGTGATTTACCAACCTTTTCTAGTCCTGCTATTGAAAGTCATATTCATAGGTGCTTGAAAATACAAAATATGTAATATGTATGATAACAGTGTATATTACAAGATGTAATGAATATTTCCTTCTTTCAGAATACCTGGAATTTCTGATAAATTTTTGTATTTTAACGATGATGTCATGTTAGGCGCCGAAATATGGCCGGAGGACTTTATAACTCAAGCAGGTGGACAAAAGATATATCTAGCATGGTGGGTTCCTGATTGTTCCGAAATTTGTCCATGGGCATGGGTCGGCGATGGATCATGCGATCATGCTTGTAATACAACATTATGCGAATTTGATGGTAACTGAATTATCTTTGTATAACAACGATATATACATAAGTATGCTATTGATATATTTGAAACATTGTGTATCTTGATAATTTTATAGGCGGTGATTGTCAAACGACTGATATTCCTGTAGATAGCGAGATAATGGAAGAGGAAGACGATTATCCATACAAATATTTGCAAGATTCTCGTGAAAACAATGAGCTAAAATTATTAAGCATCTTACGCAATAAAAACATTAATCGAAAGGATATGTCAGCGTCAACAATACAAACATTATATACGTATAATTTTAATACTACGAAATCACTTCACACGTTTCGCAATCTTGGAAATAGCAATTTTACGGACTTAGAAACGCGAAGCAGAAAATTCGACGATGGAGAGGATTATAAATCTGCAAAGGATTTTAAATCTTCCCTGTATTCCAGATTCTTACATGCAAATATGTCAAGCAGAACTGCGTATCATACTAAACGTTTAAAACGTTACCATAACATGAACGTGGTTCAGCCCAACAATTCTGTCAAGTTCGATAAATTTACATATCCCAATCAGTGGAAACGTAATGCACGCGGACTTGACACCTATGCGGAATCATTATTATATGTAAATAAAATATATAATGCCGCTTACGGCCTTGAAAGAAGGAGAGTACCGGCGCATATGCCACATTTAATGGATAAGTGGATTGTGAATAGTATGCAAGAGAAATTCGAGTCTGAATTTAAGAAAACGTCTAGTCATAAAGTGAGAGATCCTGAAGATATGCAATTTGCATTTTCTTATTTTTATTTTTTATCTAGTGAGAAACGGAGAGTATCCGTCGAAGAAATATTTGACATGTTCGATACTGATAAATCACGGTAAGAAATAGTGTGCTATGTGAATATCAAATTATAATGATTGAAGTTATACAAATCGGCCGATATCCCTAGAACTTGGTCGGACAGAGAGATAAGGACGCTTTTATCCAGATTATATCCATTGCCACTCGATTATGATCTAGTCATGGAATTTGAAAGTGAAATAGTTAATTGCTCACACCGCGTGAATCTACCGAAGGTCGTCAACGTTCCGCCCGGAGAGAGATATCTAGATTCCACTCTTGTAAGTATATATTTTATACAATAATAATCATTGATATTCAGCGCGACAATAGATAAAAATATTTAAAAACCTTTATTTTTCTACAGCCGATAGTTTCTAAAGAATTAATATTGAATTGCAAATCAGTTTCTAAAAAAATCCAATCGAAATTCGGCGAAACGAGCCGATATCCACATGAAATAATAAAGGCTGGTAAAAATGAAATCTTTGAGATGTTAACTAGTAATATTTCTTTAACAGTACAATTGCTCGATGAAATTCGGAAGGATCCCAAGTATGTTATTATTCTATATATTATATTTTTTAAGTGTATTTTTATTAAATACATAGGAACGATATTCACATGTACATAGGAATGATTCACATATTATCGTTTTCAGGAAGTTTATCTGCTTGAATGATGACATGGATCCCATTCGACATTCTGAAAATGAGATTGTGCGCGCTTTGTTAAACGATTTTTATCGTTCGCTGTATCCATTGCGAAGTTCTTTCGAATTACCATCGCAATATCGAAATCGTTTCTCTCATCGACATGAACTTTTCGAGTGGAGAGCAAATCGTGCAAAAATTAGAAATCTATTATTGTGCCTTTTGGCATTGCTCCTTCTATTTGCATTCTACCGTGCATTTTATTATTACGCACGCAGACTATGTAGAATTCGAGAATTACCGACATTTCTTGTGTAAAGAATCAACAATAGATCCAAAACTAATCAATGTGTGCGCAGAGTTGTACAATAGAATTAATAATGTTAATTATTGATATGTAATTAATGTTAATTTATAAATTAAGTAAGTTTTATGATATTTGAACGATCTGCTTGTTAAGAATTTTTTGATTTGACATTTTCTAAAATTAGATAACGATATTCCTGTGATATAAACAATTTTTATAATCAAATTTTAATAAAAAGTATATATAAACAGAACGTTAAGATTATGAAATGCATCTGAAGATTGTAATTGCACGAGTTATGTACAACAATGTTTCATGATGGCATTTTTCATGCTCGCTATTACGAAACAACCAGGTGTTATCACGACTCTAATGTCGATCGCTCATGCAAAGACGGACAGTTTGTATGTCGAATATTCCGCGGACCAACCATACCCTCTTGCAGTTTTGCGCACTTGAGCATCCACGCCGTTACGTTCGCGATTCGTTCGGCTGACAAACGAGGTCCTATACCTGCATTTTAATCTTTCCAATAGATTTCAACAAGTTAATAAATAATTATTAATTGTTTGAGTGACATGAGTGAAATTACGAGTTGAAAAATGCCGACGAGCACTTAAATTTCTATCGCAACTTTCAAAATTTCATTTAGGCATTACAATGATTGGAATATTTTTATTTTTTAAAAATGAATAAAAAAATGAATGTATAATAGAAATTTTATTTTTATTTATCACGGCATTTATTATATTAAAGTTTTATGATATTGTTTAGCACTCAAACAGTTAAAATATAAAAGGAATTTGTTATTACCTGGCACATTCGGATAACATGTAATCTTCGTATCTCTTTTCACTGCAAAAGATAGGCTTCCATCACTGGCATCCATATTGGCATCTTTTACCGCTTTACCGTCGTCCTTTCGACTAGATAAAGATTCATCTCCCTTTTCTTCATAATTACTAGTTTCTCTTTCAAACGAACTATTCTCTATCGGCTCCGTCGATGAATCGGCTGCAAAAGGAAGGAAAGAATTTGAGTAGGTAAGAATTAAGCTTGTAACAAATATGATGAGAAACGGATAGTCGGATAATGTACTCTTCGACAGATCAACTTCGTCCTTAGATATTAACTCCGAGTCCAAATTAACGTCCGCGTCTGTGTCCTGGCTATTTATAGAACAAGTATGATCGACGGAACTGTCTTTGCACGCGGTATGCTCTGTTGTATCTTGATCGAGTGTGTATTTCTCGTTACCGTCGCATGCGAGTTCCGCTAGATATCTGTTCAAGTAAAAATTAATTAAGGACTGTCGATATTAAATCAATATGTAAAAAATAATTAAAAGACTAATAAAAATTCTGCGCGGTAATTAGTGCATGGTAGTGCATCGTATTTTGCTTCTATCAGCTTACTCGTATATCTCTAAGAACAAAGTGAGCGGAATCATCGCGGATCCGCCATCCGGCTCGTGGCTGAATAATTGGCAGACCATGATCATCGTCTCGGTGAGATTGGCGCCGAGCAGACCCACCGCCACGGCGAGAAACTTCTTCACCTGGCAGGCACGATCGAATCTACCAATTGTGACAATCGTGTCAAAATCCTTGCGATTCAGGCACAGGCAGTCCCAACGATGCGAGATCATTTCGATGGGCAGCGTCCTGTTGTAATCTGGAAAAGATCATCTCGATGAGATACCTCTTCTGATAAAAATAAGGATCAGGATTGTAAGCGTAGCGCAATAGAAACGAATGACGGAAGTGTGAATGAAGATGCTCTTTTCTACAGAAAAGCATAAATTGATATGTTGAAAAATGAGGCAACATTCTTACACTCACATGATACCAACTAACATTACATTAGTGTTAGAATATAATAAATGATATTTTTTAAACTGAATTAAATTAAAATTAATGGCCCATGAAAGCAAGATCAGATTGACGTTACAGATGTCTACGGACTGAAAGCTTCGTTCACGCTTCTATGATTTTATCTTTACGCTACACTTACGTTCTTATTCTATTATAAACTTCTAAACTTTCATACTTCCGAATTGTCGCAGCAGGACTTTGAGAAAGCCCAGAGTCAAGCCGGAGGTCGTGCTCGGCGGCGGATACTCGAGTCGCGACTTGACTGGCGGCTCTTCGCCGTCGGCCAGCGCACGGAAATACATGCCGGACCACTTGAGCAGATCGTAAGGCTGTGTGCGTATCGCAGCCTTGCAGAATTGCTTCAGGATTATCGGCAGCCTGGCTGGCACTGCGATCTCCCGTTCGAGTGACGGCGGTGGTTGTTCGACGAACGACATCCTCAATCGCGACAGTGTCCGTCCACGGCAGGTTCGCGTTGATTGTTGTGCTATCGTGGTATTTCCCGTCGTCCGGGAAACGGAAACTCTCGCCGATGACGACCTTGCGTGCGCGAGCGCGCGAAATATTCCGACTTTAACGACATCCAAACTGTAATTAAAAATTTGGAAAACATCGATTTGCATCGATTGGCATCGATTAAAGTCATGAGAAGAAGAATAGAAAAGAAAAACTGATGATTCGAATGTGATCTAGTGTTGAAAAAAATGTAACAGGCAGTTTTCCTTTTTACAATTTTATAATCTTACCTTTTCTTTTGGGATAAACAAATAAATGCCATAGGATAATCTTTTTCTTTTTTCTTGTTTAATTAAACAGCTATAATATTATTTAATTAAATAAGCATAAAACTTTTTCTTCAAAATTAGGAAGGAAGATAAAGAGTATTTGTTTAATAATTTTTAAAAAATAAGAAAGAATCTCTACTGGAAATAAAAACAACAATTTTGAAATTTATATTAACCAATGATTAATTTATTAAATAATATCAACGTCAATGTTCTTAAACATAGTATAGAAAATTTTAAAAGAAGAAATAATAAATAATTTTATTTTAAATAATTCAGTTGAACAAATTGTTAAATAAATCAAAATTTAGTACATAATCGTTCTGTATTTTCATTTTGAGTGCAAGGAGTGTAAAATAGTGCAGTTGTGAAAAGAACTTTTCGACTGAAGATTCGTAACTATTTTGCAAACTTTCACATGTATGTAACTTTCACATTGATTCAAAGTGCCAAACAGAATGATAATAACGCCTATCAACCTCGCGTGCACAAAATAAATATTAGCTACTGACCTTTAAAACTTGCGATTGCGTGAGCGTGATGAATCGCGTAAGCGTCGCGACACAATCGTTCCAATCGCGGGATTTTCTAACGCACGCGCGCCATCGACACTTTTATGCGCATGCGTGAATATGCTCGGCCGACCACGTGATTATCTGGACAGGATCATATCAAGACGCGAGACACGTATTACATAAAGAGCCGAAACATTTCTCTCATTATCATTTTGCGTTAATAATTGTCTTTTTTGAATATTCCTTAATTATTTATATTATTTTCTGTAAAAAATTTCCTGTGCTCCTTAAACTTTTAATTATCCAATTTACAATAATTTACATGTTTTGCATTGTCTACATGAAAAAGATTCGTGTAAACGTAATCTTGGAATATACAGCACAATCTGTCAAATTTATAATTATATAAACGTAATTTCATATTATCTATTGACTCAATATTTTATATTTTTTTTTCTTTATATATTTTCAAGTCAATTCAAATCCATTATTGTCGAAAATACTATTGATGCTATTTTATATATATATATATATTTTCCATTGCAATCGCGTGATCGGGCCTTGCCGGCATCACTTAGGCGTACGCCCTTAAATGCACCGCGTTGCTGCGCATGCGTAGGAGAATCCACGTCTCGAGACCACCGGCGCAACATGGCGGTTAATGGCGATGCGCATCGGTGTTTGACGCGGTGTGGACGGTGCATTCGATCATCTTCGATGCGTCGGCAACGATCGTGACTGGCCGGGGAAGAAGTGGTCATCGGCGATACGTGAGAGAATCGAAACGTACCGTCTGTACGCGACACACGTGCACCAGACGCGAGTAACGCGATCGACGAGGATCGACGAGGATCGACGAAGGGGAACTGCGAGCCGTGAGCCGTGCGTGTTGAGCGCGAGGCCAAGATGTCCAAGCCGGACGAGAACGCGGACACCGGCGACACCGGGGACAACTCGAACGGGTCCTCGGCGGAGACGACGTCGTCGAGAGGCGGCGATTTCGAGACTAAGCTCGAGACGGATCGTAGTAAGCGGTTCGATTATCTGCTGAAGCAAACGGAGATATTCTCGCATTTCATGACGAACAATCAGAAGGACAAGGCTGGCAGTCCGTTGAAGATCAAAGCTGGCAGACCCCGAAAACAGCCGGAGAACCCGGTAAAGTCGGATTCCGGCGATCACAGGCATCGTAAGACAGAGCAGGAGGAGGACGAGGAACTGCTGGCGGAAAGTAACGCCAATGTGGCGCCCACCACGCGCTTCGAATCCTCTCCTCACTACATCAAGTCCGGTGAGCTGCGCGATTATCAAATACGCGGCCTAAATTGGATGATATCTCTCTACGAGCACGGTATAAACGGAATCCTGGCGGACGAGATGGGTCTTGGTAAGACGCTACAGACCATCTCTCTGCTGGGATACATGAAACACTTCCGAAATATTCCTGGCCCTCACATCGTTATTGTTCCAAAATCAACGCTGGCCAATTGGATGAACGAGTTTAAGAAGTGGTGTCCCAGTCTCAGAGCTGTTTGCCTGATCGGAGACGCAGAGACCAGGAATACCTTCATCCGAGACGTGATGATGCCTGGGGAGTGGGATGTATGTGTCACTTCTTATGAGATGGTTATTAAAGAGAAGTCTGTGTTTAAGAAATTCAACTGGCGCTATATGGTGATAGACGAGGCTCACAGAATTAAGAACGAAAAGTCCAAGCTGTCAGAGATTCTTAGGGAATTCAAGACTACCAATCGGCTTCTCCTCACCGGCACGCCGCTTCAAAACAATCTCCATGAATTGTGGTCCTTGCTGAATTTCCTCTTGCCTGATGTATTCAACAGTTCGGATGATTTTGACTCGTGGTTTAATACCAACAGCTTTTTAGGTGACAATTCTTTAGTTGAAAGATTACACGCGGTTCTAAGACCATTCCTCTTGAGACGCTTGAAATCCGAGGTGGAGAAAGGACTCAAACCCAAGAAGGAGATCAAGGTGTACATCGGTCTAAGCAAAATGCAGAGAGAATGGTATACCAAGGTATTGATGAAAGATATAGACATCGTGAATGGCGCGGGAAAGATCGAGAAGATGAGGCTGCAGAATATTTTGATGCAACTTCGAAAGTGCTGCAATCATCCGTACCTGTTCGATGGCGCCGAGCCTGGACCGCCGTACACCACCGACGAGCATCTTGTTTACAATTGCGGCAAAATGGTGATACTCGATAAACTGTTGCCCAAGCTGCAGCAGCAAGAGTCGCGCGTTCTGATATTCAGCCAGATGACAAGAATGCTGGATATTCTGGAGGACTATTGTCACTGGCGAGGCTTTCAGTATTGTCGACTGGACGGCAATACAGCTCACGAGGATCGGCAGAGGCAGATAAACGAGTACAACGCACCCGGCAGTGAGAAGTTCATCTTCATGCTGTCGACCCGCGCCGGCGGTTTGGGTATCAACTTGGCGACCGCCGACGTGGTAATTATTTACGACTCCGATTGGAATCCGCAAATGGACTTGCAGGCGATGGATCGCGCGCACCGTATAGGCCAGCAAAAGCAGGTGCGAGTCTTTAGGTTTATCACGGAGAACACGGTGGAGGAAAAGATCGTCGAGCGAGCGGAAGTGAAATTGCGCTTGGATAAGCTCGTTATCCAGCAGGGACGATTGGTCGACGCTAAGCAGACGGCGTTGAACAAGGACGAGATGCTGAATATGATCAGACACGGCGCGAACGAGGTGTTCGCGTCCAAGGACAGCGCCATCACCGACGAGGATATAGATACGATATTGCAAAAGGGCGAGGCGAAGACGGAGGAGATGAAGCAGAAACTCGAGAGCCTTGGCGAATCATCGTTACGTAATTTCACCGTCGACGCGCCAACGGATTCCGTGTATCAATTCGAGGGCGAGGATTACCGCGAGAAACAAAAAATTCTCGGAATAGGCAATTGGATCGAGCCGCCTAAACGCGAACGTAAAGCCAATTACGCCGTCGACGCTTATTTCCGAGAAGCATTAAGGGTGTCAGAGCCGAAAGCACCAAAGGCACCGAGACCACCAAAACAACCGATAGTACAAGATTTTCAGTTCTTTCCTCCACGGCTTTTCGAATTGTTGGATCAGGAAATTTATTATTTCAGACAAACAGTCGGTTACAAAGTCCCGAAGAATCCGGAGCTTGGGTCGGATGCCGCCCGGATTCAGAAGGAAGAGCAGCGTAAAATCGACGACGCCCAGCCGCTCACCGACGAGGAGATCGCCGAGAAAGAGAAGCTGCTGCTTCAGGGTTTCACCAACTGGACAAAACGAGACTTCAATCAGTTCATCAAAGCGAACGAGAAGTACGGCCGCGATGACATTGAGAACATAGCGAAGGAGGTCGAGGGTAAAACGCCGGAGGAAGTCATGGAGTATTCGGCCGTTTTCTGGGAACGATGCCACGAACTTCAGGATATAGATCGCGTGATGGCGCAGATCGAGCGCGGCGAGGCCAAGATCCAAAGACGCGCCGGCATCAAGAAGGCGTTGGACGCGAAGATGGCCAGGTACCGCGCACCCTTCCATCAGCTCAGGATAGCGTACGGCACGAACAAGGGCAAGAACTACACCGAGGAGGAGGACAGATTTCTCGTTTGCATGCTGCACAAGCTCGGATTCGACAAGGAGAACGTGTACGAGGAACTGCGCGCCACGGTGAGGTCGGCGCCGCAATTCCGCTTCGATTGGTTCGTCAAGTCCCGCACCGCGTTGGAGTTGCAACGTCGTTGCAACACCCTGATAACCCTCATAGAACGCGAGAATCAGGAGCTCGAGGAGCGCGAGAGGCAGGAGAGGAGAAAAAAGGGCAGCAACGTAGGAACGAAGCCTACGTCGAAGCGAAAGCAGGAGAACCTGCCGGCGCCCCAGGACAAGCCGCGGAAAAAGAAGAAGTAAAAACGATTTGGTGTGACATCGACGACATACATTCTGGACTCTTAAAACTCACTTTTCACAGCTCCTACGCGTTGATACTGACTGAAGTACGGACCACGGGTATTCATTAATAGGACACACAAAGGCGCTTTTTTCTATATTTACAAATTTACTCATCCTCACCGCAAACGTACTCCATGTGTGACTCCAGACTTAGTATTTCATATTCCATTGTAACGAGATACATTCTTAGATAACGACTGCCAAGTTCATCGGGCCTCATCGAATTGTTTGCAGCGACACGAATCACCTTAAACATTTCGCCGTAATTGATCTCTGAATATGAACTCGCATAATCGCGAAACTAGATTAATGCCGCAGAATCGACGATAGCTACACCGATGGACTAGGTAGAACTTGAGACGTTGTTCGAGTGTTTTTCATGTGCTCACGAATGCCTGACTGCGAGATGAAAAATAGACAAAATAGAGAGAGAAAACGAGATGTAAGAAAAAGAACATTATTTATTTCCTCGGATCTATCAAATTGTAAGTTGTTACTAAAATTATTTTAAAATTATTTTTCCTTTTCACTTTAAACCAACTTCAAAAGTCCAGTATTTTATATGTATATCGGTAAAATTGAGATATTAATTCATACATAATTTTGTTAATTTTGAATGTCGAATCTTACACTAATTTATATCTCATTGATATGTATTATATTATGTTGGTACAACATTTTTTTATAATGTAATCTTTAAAACAAAAAAAAATGTCTAAGTATTATGGTATGATATATAGATGATACATGCCGATCTATTTTATAGCCAAATATTACTCCGTAATATGTATTCTTCCACTTAATTTCAGACATTGCCACGAACTAATTTCAATGAGGACAAATTGTTTAAAAAATTGCAACTTTTTAACGCATCAAGTCTTATAATGTTTCGAAAACAGAAGGAAAACTTATATAATTTTATAGTTAAGTTTACATACATATGAACACGAATCGTACACATCAAGAATAAATTTACAAGAAAATTAATTGAATAATAAATCTTACTATTACGGATAAAAGGATATATTTTATTTCAATTGCCACACGTCAGTTTGATATATTTCGTAATGAGATATTTATTGATCGTCGCAATTCGATCTTTTTCACAATTGCGGAAGGAAATACAATGTTTCTATATGTTTTCGAGTTTTATACAATAAAATACTGATCAATTAATGAAACTATCATACTTAATATATATATATATATAAAAGCTTAGCAATTATAAGCGTGATGCTTCGATACTTAATTGCAAATGTGAGACTATACCGTGAAAAATACCGTATATTGAATAACATGAACATTTACAGTCGTATTTGTTGATAAAAAT